AACACGATTCACAGTATTTGAAATCTTTTTCTTCTAACAAAGACGAAAAAAATACAAAAAACATGCTAAAGAATTATACATTTTTTCAAATGTGGGCGAGAAGGAAAATTTATAAAACACAATTAATTTTGTGTAGAAAGTGGTACAAATACCCAGCCCCCTCCCATCTTATTTTGAACCCAATGAAGTGTTTTTTGTAAGTGTACTTGGATATGCTGAAGTGAGATGAGCCCTGAGATGAAAAAGAAAATGAGATGATGATGAACTGAGTACAACACCCTGTAGCGTACGAATGAGACGAAATGAAACACGAAACAAAATGACAAAAAAATGCACGAAACCCGTTTTCTCTCTCTCTCTCTCTCTCTCTCTCTCTCTCTCTCTCTCTCTCTCTCTCTCTCTCTCTCTCTCTCTCTCTCTCTCTCTCTTTCAGTTTTAGATAAAGTAATGATGAACAGAGCACAAAACCCTGTAGCGCACGAAAGAGACGAAATGAAACATGAAACATGATGGCCAAAAATACGCACGAAAACGTTTTTTTTTTCTCTCTCTCTTCAGTTTTAGATAAAGTACATTATCGTCTGAGAGGGAGTTTTTTTTCACCCGAAACGTTGTGGATTTAGTGTTTTCCTTTCTACTGTTATTTTGCGTTATTTCTTTAAGGCGACGATCTATACGTAGAAAATGAACATAACGTGAGAGAGATAGTGACGTATATATACACAGACAGACACGGATGGACAGACAGATAGCGCACAGACGGAGAGAGGTAATAAATGTTGCATAAATGGATATGATGGCAATGTCACCTTATAGAATATTATGATATAGGTATTTTATTTCTCTCTCATTCTTCTCTCTCTCTCTCCTCTCTCTTCTCTCTCTCTCTCTTCTCTCTCTCTCTCTCTCTCTCTCTCTCTCTCTCTCTCTCTCTCTCTCTCTCTCTCTCTCTCTCTCTCTCTCCTCTCTCTTCTCTCTCTCTCTCTCTCTCTCTCCTCTCTCTCTCCTCTCTCCTCTCTTCTCTCTCTCTCTCTCTCTCTCTCTCTCTCTCTCTCTCTCTCCTCTCCCTCTCTCTCCCTCCTTCCCTCTCCCTTCTCCTCTCTCTCCCTCTTCTCTCTCCCTCTCTCTCCCTCCCCCTCTCCCTCTCCCTCTCTCTCTCCCTTCTCCCTCTCCTCTCCTCCCTCTCCCCTCTCCCTCTCCTCTTGCTTCCATGTGATAGTGCAGACTAAGATTTTTTTTTTTTTTTTTTTAAGATATTATGTGACATGAAGGAAGGAAATAAAGGTAATTACGAGATGCAATTTTCTTCCGTATTTTCATAACCAAATGCATTCCTATCTCTATCAGGTTATGCAGGACGACGCCATCACAGCCGTTCCCTTGATATAACAAAGGGAACGATTCACTCTCATATTCCGTGATGGCAGAGCGCGTTTAACCTTCACAAAGTTTGCGGAAACAGACGGTTTTGTTTACATGCCGTCCGCGCGAGGGGGGGAGGGCGTGAGGGGCTGTTTTAGACGTGTAAACATGCGAAATATTTTAATCCGTATCCCCTTCGTCTGTTTTGTGGATCAGCTGTTTGGCTCAACACCAGCGATCTGGTCTTTGGTTAGAGGGATAACGAGACCAATCAGTGCCGCTGTAATTGGGGGACAATGGGTAATGGTTGGTAGGTTAGGTGTCGTATCCCCCTCTCGTTGTATGGCTCTGATTGTCTGTCTGTTTCTCTCTCTCTTTCTTTCTCTTTTTCTCTGCCTCTGTCCTGTCTGCCTGTCCTCTGTCTCTGTCTCTCTCTTTCTCTCTTTCTCTTCCTCTCTCTCTCTCTCTTTCTCTCTCCTCTTTCTCTTTCTCTTTCTCTTTCTCTTTTCTCTTTCTCTTTCTCTTTCTCTTTCTCCTTTTCTCTTCTCTCTTTCTCTCTCTCTCTCTTCTCTCTTCTCCTCTCTCTCTCTCCTCTCTCTCTCTCTCTCTCTCTCTCTCTCTCTCTCTCTCTCTCTCTCTCTCTCTCTCTCTCTCTCTCTCTCTCTCTCTCTCTTCATCTTCTCTCTCCCTCTCTCTCTTCTCCTCTCCTCCCTCTCTCCTCCTCTCCCTCTCCCCTCTCCTCGTCTCCTCCTCTCTTCTCTCCCCTCTCCCCTCTCCCCCCTCTCCCCTCCCCTCCCCTCCCTCTCTCTCCTCTCTTCTCTCTCTCCCTCTCTTCCCCTCTCTCCTCTTTTCGGGCTCCCACCTCACCCTCTCCCTCTTTTCGGCTCTCCATCTCACCCTCTTTCCATCTCCCTTCCCCCTCCTCCTCCTTCCCTGACCTCACCTCCTTTTATCCAACCGCCCCAATATAACGCCGAGAAGAGCATGTTAATATCCCAAGATTGCCCAGCTTCTAACACTCGCCAATTCCGCGTGAATTCTTTAAGAAGAAAAAAAAAATCCGGCAAAGTATTTATAATATTTCGTCCATCCAGCACCCTTGACTCCCAGTTGGCCGGTCTTTATGCAGATGATGCCTTGCAATTTACAACTTTCAGGAACCGCCAGCTCGTTTACTCTATAGTTATGGTCTAAGATTAAACCCCTTTTAGAAGGATCGGATTGCTTTATCTCGAGAACCCAGATTTTCATTTGTTTTTTGTTTGTATTTTTTATTTCGGAAGCGATTCGTCAGCTTATACTTATTTCTGATAACTTATATTTGTTTTTAATCGTTATTGTATAATTATTTTTAACTTTTAATGTATGTTTGAGAAGCAGAGCTCTTGTGCGAGTTTTATTTTGTTAAAAGTGTGTCAGCTATGAATGGTTTGCAAGTGAACGAGGCAACACTGGAATCGTTTATACCCCAAAACATGCATTATTCAAAATCCAAACTTGCTTATTCTATAATTAAGTTCAAAGTTTAATCCCGCGCACCAGATTCTCATTTTTTTCGCGAGTGATCTGAAATCTTCAAATTTCCCACTTCTGTATACTTAAGAACCGCTATTTTGTTGTTGCTACAATAATTCACCAACAGTAAACAAGAGATGGTAAAGCCTAAAATCATATAAATATTCAATTTTCCAGGTATGTGTTACTTATAAAATACTTAACCAACAGTACTAAGAGATGTTAAAACATAAAATCATATAATAAATCATCAAATGTTTTGTTTTGTTTTTCAAAAAATTTATCTCTATAGCCAGGTATGTGTTACATATAAAATACAATGCGCCTTTAATACCGCAGCGACCCGTATATTAGTGTTAATCGGAGACCTCTTTCAATTTTACGACATTTTATTTCACAAGTGTGTTCGTACTAGTCTGTGGAATACAAAATACGAGTGAATTTCACAATAATCTGATTGGGATATTTTCATGCCTGACCTGATGTGTTTTTTTGTAAGATATATCTAGCTCTGTAACTTCTCTCGCTCGATTTTTCTGTCTGTCTCTGTCTTCTTCTTTTTTCTTTCTTCTTCTTCTTCTTCTCTCTCTCTCTCTCTCTCTCTCTCTCTCTCTCTCTCTCTCTCTCTCCTCGTCTGCCTCTCTCTCTCTCTCCTCGCTCATCTCTCTCCTCTCTCTCTCTCTCATTCTTTCTCTCTGCTCCTCTCTATTTCCTTTCTCTTTGCTCTCTTTCTCCTTTCCCTCTTATCTCTTTCCTCTGTTTCCTCTTTCCTCTTGTCTTCCTTTTCTCTCTCTTTTCTTCTGTCGCTCAATCGTCTCGTCTCTCTGTCTCCTCGTGCTCCTCTTCCTCCTCCATCTTCTCTCTCTCCCTCCTCTCCGTCTTCTCGTCTCTCTCCGTCTCTCTCTCTCTTCCTCTCTCTCTCTCCTCTTCATCTCTCTCTCTCTCTTGCCGGCTACGCTCTCTGCTCTCAATCTCTATTCGGTGCGAATTTAGTGGAGATGAGAGGGCCTCTCTCTCTCTCTCTTCCTCTCATCTCTCCTCGTCTTCCTCTCGTCTCTTCTTTTCTTGCCTCTCTCTCTCTGCCTCTTATCCTCTCTCTCGATCTGTCTTGACCTCTCTCTCGTCTCATCTTCCTCTGCTCTCTCTCCTCTTATTTGTTGGTTACTGATCAGAGTCGGCAAGATTAATGGAGTATGTGAGAAGGTGTTTAGGGAAGGGGAAGTAGGTCGTTGTTTTGGTTCCAGAGTTGAAAAATAACGGATATGTCATGTGCTGTGGAAGGAGAGAAGTGTAAATGGGCACTCTTTGATGGGGTTGGAAATGATTACGAGAGGCCTCTGCTCTCTCTCTCTTCTCTCTCGTGTCACTCCTCTCTCCTCATCTCAGCTCTGCCTTCCCTTCTCGGCCTGTCCTGTCTCTATCTATCTAATCGTCTCTTTCTCACTCACGTCACGTCACTCATCTCCAACTCCTATTCCACTACTACACGCCAACTCCTACTCCAAGCTCCGCATTCTTACTCGCCACTCCCACTCCACTCACTTCACTCCACTCCCACCACTCACTCTCACTCCGCACTGCCCCCCATCTCAACTCCCACTCCCACACGGACCTCCCCTCTCACTGCCACTCCCCACGCCACCTCCCCGCCGCCTCTGCACTCCACTCCCACCACTCTGCTCCCTCTTGCACTCCCACTCCCCCCCAAACCACTTTTTCGTTGTACCACTCCCCCCTCTCAACTCCCACTGGCCACCACTCCTCCTCTCACTCTCCACTCCCACCAACTCCCCCCTCGGTCGAGCTCAGGCCGAGCTAACCCAGCCAACTATCCCCCAGCCGATCCTGCCTCAACATCGCACTCCCACCACCCGCCCTCCTCACTCCCACTGGGTTTGCACCACCGAAAAACTCTCCCCCCTCTCACATCCACTCCCACTGCACTCCGCCCCGTGCTCACTCCCAGCCGTCCCCACGCACTCCCGCGCTCCTCCTCACATCACGCAACTGCCCCACCACTCCCTCCCCTCTCACTCCCCACTCCCAACCACTCCCCTCTCACCCACTTCCCCACCACTTCCTCCCTCTACTCCCACTCCCACTCCCGCACTCTCCCTCTCACGATGCCCACTCCCACCAACTGCCCCGCTCTCCACTCCCACTCCCACCCGGAACTCGACCTCTCACTCCTTACTCCCCCACTCCCTCCTCTCACCTCGCCACTCCCACTGCACTTGCCCCACTATCTCGACCTGCTCACTCCCCACTCGCCACCACTCGCCGAGCCTCTCACCGTGCCCAATTCGCACTACCCCTCTCAACCCTCCCACTGCCACCACTCCCTCTCAACTCCCCCTCCCACTCCCCCTCTCACTCCGCCACTCCCAAGGGCCACGCGGACTAATCTCTCCCCTCTTCACTTCCCCCTCGGCCACCTCCCACATTCCCCCACTCTCCCGCTCTCACTCCCACTCCCAGCCCAGAGGGACACTGCCCCTCCTCATCCTCCCACCACTCTCCGCCCCTCTCACCTCCGCCACTCTCAGCAACTGCGTGGTCCCCCCTGCGTCACTCCCACTCCACCACTCCACCCGTCGTCACTCCACTGCCCAGCCGATGGCAGGCACCAAACAGCACTCCCCCTCAGCCCCGTCTCACGTCGCATCTCCCCCTCTCACTCCCACTCCCCCATACCCCCTCGTCACTGCCAACTGGAGCCACACACCAGTCCCGCCCTCACCCGACTTCGAGGACGCCCCTCCGCCTCTCCACTCTCCCCACTCCCACGTCCCCCTCTCCCTCCCCACGCCCACTCTCGCCCATTGCCTCTCCAACCCAAAACCCCTACATCTCCATCGATACAAAAAAAATAAAATAAATAATAAAAAAAAAATCCCCTCAAATTACCCGTCTCCCGAAGCCTCCTTGATCCCGGCCTGTTTACCACCCCGGCGCTTTCACCGACCGCCGCTGCCTCTCCGCAGACTCTCGCGCGCGCTTGAAAAATATGCCAAATGCAAACTAATAACGACCCAGATGGTATTGACTCTTCCGGCCGCCGAGAACACGCGATTCGGGTCCCTGGTACGTCCTCTGCTCCGTGGTGGAGGGAGAGGTGGGAGGGAGGGAGGGGGAGAGGGAGAGGGAGGGAGGGAAGAGGAGGGAGGAGAAGAGAGGAAAAGGAGTAAGAGAAGGAGAGAGATAGGAAAGGGGGGAGAGAGGAAGGGAAGGAAAGAGAGATAGACAGAGGAGAGAGATAGAAAAAAGAGGGAGAGAGAAAAAAAGGGGGAGGAGGAGAGAGGAAAGGGAAGAAAGGAGAGAGAGAGAGAAGAGGGAGGAGGAAGGGAGGAAGGGAAGGGATAGAGAGAGAGAGACAGACAGACTAAGAGAGACAGAGAAAGAAACATATACAGCACACCATACCCGCCCTAACCATGGCCGCGGGTCTATCGTTTCCCCACATGCACATACCTCCTTACTTTTCCCATTCACTTATTCACCCGCACGCCCACAACCATACCATTTCATCACCGCCCGAACTAGGCCGCGGGTACGTCGTTAACACGCACGCACACGTCCGTTTTCTCACACACACACTGACTCAAACTCGCACAAACACACTCACTCAAACTCGTACACGCACTCACTCGCTCAAACTCGCAACACATCGCACATACAATACACATACACACATACACATACACATACACATACACATACACACATACACACACATACACACACACACACACATACACACACACACACACACTCACTCATACTCACTCATTCAAAACTGCACCACACACACACACACACTACTAACTCGCGGACACACACGCACGCATTATCTCGTATACTCACTCATTTTGAAACTGGACACAGGCACGTACATTTATTTTCTTGTTCAAACAAATTTATTTAATCAAATTCACTCCAACCGTAATTTCGTTTTCTTTCTCGAACACAATAGACGAATCGTTTTATCACCGCTGAAATAACAGTCTTGGATTAGTCATTAAGCAATATTATCACATGTTTGGATTATCCAATATTAATCAACTAAGGATATTAAGAGACTGGGGCACGCTTTTGGGGGATGGGGAAAAAAAAAACAATCGTATGAAATGAAAATTTTATTGAAAATTGATTTTAATTCTAATATGATTTTCTCCAAGTCGATATCTGGGAAAGAAAAAAAATCCTTGAAAATACATGGTGTCATTATATCATAATAGGCTCGCCAAGTATTAATGATAAAGTTATTTGAAAAATCCCAATCAAAAGCCAATAAAATTATCAATGGAATGGTGAAATTACATTTTCAATTAACACATTTATACAGCCCACTGCAATTCAGTCCAAATGGTCCTAAAAGGGGGCCCTTATTTTTGTAATTAAAAAATCAAAATAAATATGGACTGCTGAAAGCCTTCATTTTTCGGCAGAGGTTCGGAACCCATTGATGGGCTCGAAGGAGGTTGAGGTACGGCTGGCGAAACAGCGAATTCTTCTTTTAAAGGCGCTGTATCTTTTATTTATCCGTTCTTGCCTTCCGAGCCTCCTCCAAATACGTCTGACGCTCTATGATAAACTGCTTCATTATCGGCATCGTAATAATGGAAAAACCCGAGTGTTCAGTGATGAGGCCGCTGAGAGTTTATAAATCAATGGCGAGTGTGGGAGCCCTGCAGCACTTCACTCTCTTACAGTCGTTCCCCAGAATAAACAAGCCGCCTAAACGATTTTTTCTTTTCGATCTATAAAATAATGTAAGCAAATCAAGTCACACAAAATTCTGATTCCTCACCTCTTTTGGGAGACAGACGTCTAAATTTGTTTATAATTGAGATGCAGCGATTATATTTTCAGTGTTGATTAAGGAAGGGATTGTCAGATTTTTATAATTTTTAATTTTTTACGATTTTCCCACTAAAGGCCCTATCACACTATCACTTTTTCCGTCAATTTCTGGGGTTCCGTCTGAATTTGAGGCTTTCCGCAAGGATCGTCTACAAACGGAACGCCTCCCAGACCAAGACGGTTACGACCGTTTCCGTCTGACTAATATCCGTGTTGATCTTGTGCTATTAATAAATTAGATAGGATGAGTGAATGTAAACATAAGCTAATATTTTAGAACATTCGTATATACAATATACATCATCGTATTTCTTTAAGATAACGTAATAGGTATGTGAATGTTAGTGTGATTCCCGGGACCTCACTCCAATAGCGCCATGTTTGTTTACATGATGAGTTCATTCGGAAACGCAAAATAAAAATTGACGGAAAAAGTGTTACTGTGATAGGGCCTTAAAAAATACGATAACATATAGCAACATAGGAAACAAATCCACAAAGGAAAAGGAAGGCATAATTACAAGCAATGTTTTTTTTTTTTTTTTTTTTTTTTAATCATCTGTGCTTCTCTCATCAACCTAATCCAATTAAAGCGGTTTGTGCCATGACGTCATCTAACATCTGAGACACGAGGAGCAAACACCACTGGAAAGGCGAAAGGGCCATAGACAGTTCAGTGGCATCAGCTGGTCCTATTTCGGTCCTGAGAACTGAATTTGTTCAAGAATATTTCCTTTTCGAATGAAAATGACTCCCAGGATATATTTACATGATATACATACATACATATATATATATATATATATATATATATATATATATTATATGATATACATTATATATATATATATATATATATATATATATATATACTATATATATATATATATATATATACTATATATATATATATATATATATATATATACTATTAATTCATGATATATATATTAAATACTATATATTCGCTTGCCCTGCTCTCCGCAATCGAACACATTTTGTTCTACCATTTACCTTCCTCACAACTGCATGAAGCCGCTTCAGTCATTCATTCGTTCAGATCTCTCTCGCCTCACATGTCCTTCCGGTTGTTTGTTTACGCCCTTCGCGTATGACTCAATTGTCTCATATTTTTACTTAAATCACTTTCCAGATCACGGACGATTCATCCATCCACTTCTTCATGTTCTCTTCCTAATTTTTCGATCGTTCACATCCTCCTCCTCATCGTTCACATTCATCCCCCTCCTTCTTTTTCACTCGTTCACATCCTCCTCACCATCGTTCTTATCCCTCTCCTTTTTCGCTCGTTCACATCCTCCTCATCATCATTCACATCCCTTTATTCTTCGTTCGTTCACATCCGCCTCCTCCTCTCACCCGCTCATTCACATCCCTCCCGCCGACCCGACGCTCCTTTGCCCGCTCATTCACATCCGTCTGGCGTCTCCCGCAGGTGCTGCCGGGGCTCTACGTGGGCAACTTCCGAGACAGCAAGGACCCCGAGCAACTCAAGGCTCACCACATCACCCACATCCTCTCGATCCACGACAATGCCAGGAAACTACCGTGCAACAGTGTAAGTTCATGCTTATTGTTATTATTATTATTATTATTATTATTATTATTATATATGCGTGTGTGTATGTGTATATATATGTGTGTATGTGTGTATGTATGTATGTATAGGTGATGGTGTTTTACTACAAACACATATGTATATATTATGTAGATGTAGATATACGGCCAGTTTGTTAAAATTAAGCCCGATCAAATGAATACTCACTATACGGATATGTATATACAATAACATAAATTAATACATATCTATCTATCTAGACATACATAGATAGATAGATAAATACATATCAGTCAGATAAACATATGCATTAATTTCTGCGAATATGCATGTCCGTACGTATGAATATTCATTGGGTCGAACGCACACACACACACACACACACACACACACACACACACACACACACACACACACACACACACACACACACACACACACACACACACACACACACACACACACACACACACACACACACACACACACACGCACACACACACACACACACACACACACACACACACACACACACACACACACACACACACACACACACACACACACACACACACTCTTAACATCTACGTGCAGTATGTATGTGCTTGTACATCATTTTATGGATACACCGCATGTTATTACACGTCTCTGCGCTACGATACCATCACGAAAGGATATCCCTTGCATATTGGACATAAACTCCCACAAAAATAGAGAAAAAGTCATGAATTTTCGAAAAAAAAAGTGTGAAAGACAAATGGTGCGTCGCACAGCCGTCGAGGGGGCGCTGAATACATTAGATACTAAGCTTTCCATTCTCTCAACGTCCTCCCCTGATCCCCCCTTTGCGTCCCCCCCCCCCGACTCTTAACCCCTCCTTCTCCTCCCCGCCCTTCCCCCTCCTCCCCTCCCTCTTTTCTTCTCCCCTTCATTCCCCCTCTGTCGTTCCCCCACCTTTTCAACCCCTCCCTCCTTACCCTCACCCCCTTACCCTCCTCTTCCTCCCTCCTCCCCACCCCACCCCTTACCCCCCTCTTTCCTCCCTCCTCCCCACCCCCACCCCCCCCTCCTCCCTCCTCCTCCCTCCTCCCCCACCCCTCTCCTTCCTCCCTCCCCTACCCCTTCCCTTCTCTCCTCCACCCCCCTCCTTTCTCTCCCCCTTCATTCCTCTCCTTCCACCCCTCACCCCACCTTCATCCCTCACCCCCCACCTCCTCCTACCCCCCCCTTTTTCCCTACCATCCCCGCCCCCCTTCGATAAATTGCATGAGCATCATGGACGGGAAACGCGGCTCTAGGATGGTGCTGGAACGTGGACTGCCATTTCTTTTCCTTTTCTTTTTTCCTCTTTTTCCTTTCCCCCTTTTCTTTTGCTTTTCCTTTTGTTTTCTCTATTGTTATTTTTTTTTCTTTATTTCATTTGTTTCCTATTTTCATTTTTTTTTTTTCTTTTCTTTTCTTTTTCTTTTATATTTCATTCTTTTATTTATTTTTTTATTTTTTTCCCTTTTACTTTCTCGTTCTCTTTCTCTTCTCCTTTTCCTTTCCATTTTCCTTTTTTTCTTCTAAACAAAATGAGAACATGAGAAAGCAATGTAATCCATTTATTATTTTTGCTGTATTATCATCATATGTTTCTTATTTTGGCCCCTTATTCTACTTTTTTCATCTATTTCTGATCTTTATTCTATTGTTACCATTATTATCAATCTTTATTTTTGTTTCTTTTTTTTTTTTTTAATAACAAAGATCTGTTAATTAAGCGAACAACAAAATAAAATTAAAAGATTGGTGGCCTTGTGTCTCCATCAAGTCACAAAGCTGTATAATTAGAATGCGTTCAGCTTTAATTACACACACAGAAGAGAGAGAGAGAGAGAGAGAGAGAGAGAGAGAGAGAGAGAGAGAGAGAAGAGGCAGAGGGAGGAGAAGAGAAAAAGAGAGTGAAAAACACAGAAATAGAGAGAGAGAGAGAGTAAAAAAAAAACACTGAGAAAGAGAGAAAGAGAGCGAAATAGAGAGACAGAGAGAGAAAGAAAAAAAAACTTATCACTGCTACACTCAACCCCCTTCAACCCAATTCGTAAATAGAATCCCAGTAATCAGTTCTCTTTACCATATCAACGACGAAGCATCAAAGAGATTAAAAAAATAAAAAAGATAAAGGATTCGGAGAGAAAGAAAAGAGGAAGATTCGGAAAGAAAGAAAGAGAGATAGAGTGAAGAGAAGAATTGGAAAGAAAGAAAAGATAAAGATTAGGAAAGGAAGAAAGAGATAGAAAGAAGAGAGGATTCGGAAAGAATACAAGAGAAGAGAAAAAAGATGAAGATTCGGAAGAGAAAGAGAGAAAGAAAAGGAGCGAGAAGAGTAGGACAGGCACAAAACAGAAAGAAAAATCGGAAAGAAATAGGGAGAGAGAGAAAAAAAAATGGAAGGAAAGAGAAGAAGATATGGAAAGAAAGAAAGAAAAAGAAGGAAGATTCGCAAAAAGAAAGAAAAGAAGATTCACCAAAGAAAGAAAAGATTCGCAAATTAAAGAAATTGAAGATTCGCAAAAGAAAGAAAGAAAAAGATTCGCAAAGAAAGAAAAGATTCGCAAAGAAAGAAAAGAAGATTCGAAAAAGCAAAGAAAGAAAAGAAGATTCGCAAAGAAAGAAAAGGAGAAGATTCGCAAAGAAAGAAAGAAAAGAAGAAGATTCGCAAAGAAAGAAAAGACGATCTGCAAAGAAAGAAAAAAAAAAAGAGAAGAAAAAGAAGATTTGCAAAAGAAAGAAGAAAAAGAAGAAGATTCGCAAAGAAGGAAAAGAAGAAGATTCGCAAAGAAAGAAAAGAAGAAGATTCGCAAAGAAAGAAAAGAAAAGAAAATAAAAAAGAAAAGAAGATTCAAGAAAAAAAAAAGAATTGAAAAGAAAAAGAAAAGATTCTCAAAGAAAGAAAAGAAGATTCGCAAAGAAAGAAAAAGAAAAGAAAAGAAAAGAAAAAGATTCGCAAAGAAAGAAAAGAAGATTCGCAAAGAAAGAAAAGAAGGAAGATTCGCCAAGAAAGAAAAGAAGAAGATTCGCAAAGAAAGAAAAGAAGAAGATTCGCAAAGAAAGAAAAGAAGAAGATTCGCAAAGAAAGAAAGAAAGAAGATTTCGCAAAGAAAGAAAAGAAGAAGATTCGCAAAGAAAGAAAAAAAAGATTCAAAAAGAAGATAAAGAAGAAAAGAAGATTCGATTCCAAAGAAAGAAAAGAAGATTTGCAAAGAAAGAAGATCCGCAAAGAAAGAAAAAAAAGATTCGCAAAGAAAGAAAAGAAGATTCGCAAAAGAAAGAAAAGAAGATTCGCAAAGAAAGAAAAGAAGAAGATTCGCAAAGAAAGAAAAGTAAGAAGATTCGCAAAGAAAGAAAAGAAGAATTCGCAAAGAAAGAAAAGAAGAAGATTCGCAAAGAAAGAAAAAAAGAAGATTCGCAAAGAAAGAAAAAGAAGATTCGCAAAGAAAGAAAGAAGAAGATTCGCAAAGAAAGAAAAGAAGATTCGCAAAGAAGGAAAAGAAGAAGATTCGCAAAGAAAGAAAAGAAGATTCGCAAAGAAAGAAAAGAAGAAGATTCGAAAGAAAGAAAAAGAAGATTCGCAAAGCAAAGAAAAGAAGATTCGCAAAGAAAGAAAAGAAGATTCGCAAAGAAAGAAAAGAAGAAGATTCGCAAAGAAAAAAAAAGAAGATTCGCAAAGAAAGAAAAGAAGAAGAAGATTCGCAAAGAAAGAAAAAGAAGATTCGCAAAGAAAGAAAGAAGATTCGCAAAGAAAGAAAAAGATTCAAAGAAAGAAAAGAAGAAAGATTCGCAAAGAAAGAAAAGAAGATTCGCCAAAGAAAGAAAAAGATTCGCAAAGAAAGAAAGAAAGAAGAAGATTCGCAAAGAAAGAAAGAAGATTCGCAAAGAAAGAAAAAAAGATTCGCAAAGAAGAAAAAGATTCAAAGAAAGAAAGAAGAAGATTCACAAAGAAAGAAAAGAAGATTCGCAAAGAAAAAAAAGATTCGCAAAGAAAAAAAAGCAAAGAAAAGAAAAGAAGTTCGCAAAGAAGAGGATTAGCAAAGAAAGAAATAGGGAGAGAGAGAGAACGAAGATTCTGAAAGAGAGAAAAGAAGAATTTTCGGCGTCTCTTCCTTCCACTAGAATCGATACAGTGACGGAGTTTGTAAACTTCATGTCGAAGGAGGACAAGGGAGAGAGAGAGAGAGAGAGAGAGAGAGAGAGAGGAGAGGAGAAAGAAAGAGAGGGAGAGCGAGAGATAGAGGTGGAGGGAGAGAGAAGGAGAGAAGGGGAGAAGAAAGAGAGAGAGGTGGAGGAGGAGGAGAGAGGGAGGGGGAGGGAGAAGGGGAGAGAGACAGAGAGAGGAGGGAGAAAGAGAGAGAGACAGGGAGGGAGAGAGAGAGAGGAGAGAGAGAGAGACACGGAGAAAGAAGGAAAGAGAGAGACACACACACAGACACAGAGAGAGAGAGGCAGAGAGACAGAGACACACAGAGAGAGACAGACAGACAGAGAGCGAAAAAAGAGATAAAAGAAAAAAAAACAGAAACAGAGAGAAAGGAGGGGATAGGTGCAAACTTTATCCCCGGTGTGCAGAGGATGAGACAGGCCAAGGACGCCCACCACCAACGCCCACAGGGGGGGGGGGGGAAGTCAGACCAGGCCGTGACCTCGTTTCTCAGGATTGCAAGGGGAGGGGGAAGAGGGGGGCGGGGGGAATGGGAGGGAGGGGAAGAGGGGGCGGGGGGGTGGGAGGGGAGGGGAGTACGCCGTCTTCCGAGCGAAGTCACATATTTAAACATTTATGAACTTAAAAGAATTAAACGGTTCATCCGAATGTTTTTATCGATTTTTTTTTTCTTTTCTTTTTTTCTCTTTGTTCGGGTCGGAGTAATTTTGATTGCTTTGTTTGTTTTTTCTTTTCTCAAATTACTTTCATTTCAACTTGTTTTTGTCAAACTGAATATACTCTCTGGCTTGCATTGC